TTTCAATTCTCTTGTAATTTTTCTTTTTATGCTTTTTGTATAATTCTTCTGTTACTCTTTGTTAATTATATGCATTTCAACTCCATAGCGATGTTTCTCAAAAAGAGGACGGTGATAATGAGAATAAAAAAGAAACCCCATCTATCAAACGGGCTGTTAGAAAGAGGATGAGGAAGGATGGACCCTCTGTTACTTCACCTTATATGCGTCTAGATCAAGCAAAGGAAGTCACAAAGAAGAAACGTGTCATCCAGATATTGGATAGTCCTGAGGGGAAAAAAAATTGCAAAAATGTTGAAGGCTTCATACCTACATCTCTCGACTATCCAGGTAAGGTACTGGTCTATGATTATGAGGACAAATTAATTGAAGACTTTCTATAAAAAAAAAATAACCAGGTATTTGTTACTGACTTATTCTAATAATAATCTTCGAATTTACTTAATGTGTTGCAATTTTCTCACCATATACTTGCATATAGTGATACATACATTTGGAAGTGTGCCGAAGCTAGCGTATCTCACTTAGATGCTTATAAACTATTGACAGGAGGTGAACTCAGTGATTATGTAGGTCCTAAACATTTGTGTTATGGTTTGTTTGATGTTGTCTATAAAATCACTTATATTAACTACATTATTCATTCATGGTAAATTGTGTAGGTGATCGATGCATTTGTTATTCGGCTTTGGAACAAGATTGAAACAACTAATAGTTATGATCGAAAGATACATGTCACAAGGCCTTAGCTTGCAGTAAGTATATCCATGTTGTTTCATTAGTTTGTGGTTTTTATTATTATATAACACTACATTGTTGACATTGATTGTCACGCCCCGCTTGCCAAAATACACGGGTGGCAAAACGAATGAAGGAAAATGTTTCTCAGCAGAAGTTCTTGGAGTGTGAAAGAATTTTGATCCCGATTGTCAGCTCCGGACATTGGCACATGGTAGAGTTAGTGAGAGAGGAGAAAAAATTCTATCACTACTCCTCAATCAAATCCCCAATTTATACCGCCGATGCTGCGAAATTTAGAAATAAGTTTATAAGTTTCATACAGAGTAATTGGAGATTGGGGAAATTGGAGCATCATGTTATTGTGTCAATTGACACGCCACAACAAGGACCGTAAGTGTTTCATGCATTTCTAATGTTAATGTTCATATTTTCTCAAAGTCATTTTCAATATTGTTTGATTTTTTTAAATGCAGAACTTTAGATTGCGGGATCTTTATGATTGAATTCATTAACAGCATTGTTGAAAAGCGGCCGATAACAATTTCAGAAGGAGATTGTGCAAAGTATAGAGCAAAGTTTTGTGCAACTCTCTTGTATGCACCAATTTCAGAAGGAGATTGTGCAAAGTATAGAGCAAAGTTTTGTGCAACTCTCTTGTATGCACGCGATTCACCTTTTTTGTAAATATTATTTTAATTTTCACAATGGTGTTTGTTTTGTATGCAATATGCGTATGATATTTTGTGGATGATATTATGTCGACGATACCCTCATTTGATATTATGTGGTTGATATTTTGTAAGTCTTTGTACCTAGTTTTTGTACCCACTTAAACAAGTTTTGTACCTCATTGATCTGCAAAAATAATTTGTACCCAGTTATTAAAGTTTTGTACCTACTTATGCAAGTTTTGTACTTAGTTAGGCATGTTTTGTACCTCGTAGTTCTTGAAAAAGTTTATTGTACCCAGTTATTAAAGTTTTTGTACCCACTTAATCAAGTTTTTGTACCCACTTAAATAAGTTTTGTATCTCATTGATCTGAAAAAATAATTTTGTACCCAGTTATTAAAGTTTTGTACCTACTTATGCAAGTTTTGTCCTCATTGATCTGAAAAAATAATTTTGTACCCAGTTATTAAAGTTTTGTACCTACTTATGCAAGTTTTGTACCTAGTTAGGCACGTTTTGTACCTCGTAGTTCTTGAAAAAGTTTATTGTACCCAGTTATTAAAGTTTTGTACCCACTTAATCAAGTTTTTGTACCCACTTAAACAAGTTTTGGACCTCATTGATCTGAAAAAATAATTTGTACCTAGATATTATAATTTTGTACCTACTTAATCAAGTTTTGTACCTAGTTAGGCACGTTTTGTACCTTGTAGTTCTTGAAAAAGTTTATTGTACCTAGTTTGGCATATTTTGTACCTCGTAGTTCTTGAAAAAAATTATTTATACCCAATTTTGTAAGTTTTGTACCAACTTAATTAATTTTTTGTACCCACTTACACACGTTTTGTACCTCCTAGTTTTTGAAAAAGTTTATTGTACCCAGTTATTAAAGTTTTGTACCTACTTATGTAAGTTTTGTACCTAGTTAGGCACGTTTTGTACCTCGTAGTTCTTGAAAAAGTTTATTGTACCCAGTTATTAAAGTTTTGTACCCACTTATTCAAGTTTTTGTACCCACTTAAACAAGTTTTGTACCTCATTGATCTAAAAAAATAATTTGTACACAGTTATTAAAGTTTTGTACCTACTTATGCAAGTTTTGTACCTAGTTAGGCACGTTTTGTACCTCGTAGATTTTTTGTTCCCACTTATGCAAGTTTTGTACATCATTGATCTGAAAAATTTATTTGTACCCAGTTATTAAAGTTTTGTACCTACTTATGCAAGTTTTGTACCTAGTTAGGCACGTTTTGTACCTCGTAGTTCTTGAAAAAGTTTATTGTACCCAGCTATTAAAGTTTTGTACCTACTTATGCAAGTTTTGTACCTAGTTAGGCACGTTTTGTACCTCGTAGTTCTTAAAAAAGTTTATTGTACCCAGTTTTTAAAGTTTTGTACCTATTTATGCAAGTTTTGTACCTAGTTAGGCACGTTTTGTACCTCGTAGTTCTTGAAAAAGTTTATTGTACCTAGTTATTAAAGTTTTGTACCAAATTAATCAAGTTTTTGTACCCACTTAAACAAGTTTTGTACCTCATTGATCTGAAAAAATAAATTGTACCTAGTTATTATAATTTTGTACCTACTTAATCAAGTTTTGTACCTAGTTAGGTACGTTTTGTACCTCGTAGTTCTTGAAAAAGTTTATTGTACCAAGTTAGGCATATTTTGTACCTCGTAGTTCTTGAAAAAAATTATTGATACCCAATTTTGCAAGTTTTGTACCAACTTAATCAATTTTTTGTACCCACTTACACACGTTTTGTACCTCGTAGTTCTTGAAAAAGTTTATTGTACCCAGCTATTAAAGTTTTGTACCTACTTATGCAAGTTTTGTACCTAGTTAGGCACGTTTTGTACCTCGTAGTTCTTGAAAAAGTTTATTGTACCCAGTTATTAAAGTTTTGTACCCACTTAAACAAGTTTTGTACCTCATTGATCTGAAAAAATAATTTTGTACCTAGTTATTAAAGTTTTGTACCTACTTATGCAAGTTTTGTACCTAGTTAGGCACGTTTTGTACCTCGTAGTTCTTGAAAAAGTTTATTGTACACAGTTATTAAAGTTTTGTACCCACTTAATCAAGTTTTTGTACCCACTTAAACAAGTTTTGTACCTCATTGATCTGAAAAAATAATTTGTACCTAGTTATTATAATTTTATACCTACTTAATCAAGTTTTGTACCTAGTTAGGCACGTTTTGTACCTCGTAGTTCTTGAAAAAGTTTATTGTACCTAGTTAGGCATATTTTGTACCTCGTAGTTCTTGAAAAAAATTATTGATACCCAATTTTGCAAGTTTTGTACCAACTTAATCAATTTTTTGTACCCACTTACACACGTTTTGTACCTCGTAGTTCTTAAAAAAGTTTATTGTACCCAGTTTTTAAAGTTTTGTACCTATTTATGCAAGTTTTGTACCTAGTTAGGCACGTTTTGTACCTCGTAGTTCTTGAAAAAGTTTATTGTACCTAGTTATTAAAGTTTTGTACCCACTTAATCAAGTTTTTGTACCCACTTAAACAAGTTTTGTACCTCATTGATCTGAAAAAATAATTTGTACCTAGTTATTATAATTTTGTACCTACTTAATCAAGTTTTGTACCTAGTTAGGCACGTTTTGTACCTCGTAGTTCTTGAAAAAGTTTATTGTACCCAGTTATTAAAGTTTTGTACCCACTTAATCAAGTTTTTGTACCCACTTAAACAAGTTTTGTACCTCATTGATCTGAAAAAATAATTTGTACCTAGTTATTATAATTTTGTACCTACTTAATCAAGTTTTGTACCTAGTTAGGCATATTTTGTACCTCGTAGTTCTTGAAAAAATTTATTGGTACCCAATTTTGTAAGTTTTGTACCAACTTAATCAATTTTTTGTACCCACTTACGCACGTTTTGTACCTCGTAGTTCTTGAAAAAGTTTATTGTACCCAGTTATTAAAGTTTTGTACCTACTTATGCAAGTTTTGTACCTACTTATGCAAGTTTTGTACCTACTTAGGCATATTTTGTACCTCGTAGTTCTTGAAAAAATTTATTGTACCCACTTATTAAAATTTTGTACCAACTTATGCACATTTTGTATGATTTGGCATGAATAAAAAATTTCTACCCACTTAATCAATTTTTGTACCCACTTATGCACATTTTGTATCTCATAGATCTGGAAAAAATTTTGTACCTCATAGACTTGGAAAAAATTAAATTCAAATTATCATCCATACTTGATTAATCCATACAACCACATTATCATCTATACAACCAAATCATTCATATGTACATAAACTTTAATTTAAATTATCAACCATATGTGATTAATCCATACAACCAATCATCCATACGTACATAAACTTTAATTCAAATTTTCAGCATTCTTCAGAAACACATGCTTTGTTTTGGCCCACCGTTAACTTTGTTTTAGCCCTCAGTTAACTTTGTTTTGACCCTCCGTTAACTTTCTCGACCACCACCTGCAACATTTTTCACCTACAAAAAAAATTATAACTTTAACATGACAAATGCATCGATAGGAAACAATTATTAAATCAAGATTAAATATAATATCTTAGCTAAAGGACAACTCATTATATAATGTCCTTTTCCCTTACAAAATCCACAAAATCTTTGTTTTTTATACCCTTTTCTTGTGCTATCTCCATTCCAGACTTAATTCTAGTAGTTTGTGTTGGTTGTCCCTTCGTGGCAATAGGCTTATCTGGATCACGAATAGTGATTTGAGTTGCTTCCTCTACAGAGATGGGTATGGATGAAGTAGGCATCTTATTGCTGGCATTGCTCTCATTTCCATTATCGTTAAGTTCTTTTTCTTTCTTGTAAGCACCAACTTCTTCAAAAAATGAGTCTAAAAAAGCACTGAACTTATCGTAAAGTGTAATTGAAGTCAATGTATCTTCTAGTGCCTTGTTACATCTACTCCTAAGGGCCTAATGTTTAATGATAGAAAGTTTGTTTTCACTATTTGAAATGCAATTTCTAACAACTCCGCAACCAACATGTCTTGCTTTAATTGTCCATCGTTGCATAATATATCTTAATGGAATTTCTAATACTTGCTTCTTTACTAAAATGTGCAAGCTATGTTTGCATAATATACCTTCCATCTCAAATTTCTCACAAGAGCACTTAATTCTTTTATCTTTGGATGCATCGAAAACAACATGATGCTTTACCGTCTTTTTGCTCTCAGCCTCGCGATCTATATTCCAAACGGCATAAGTAGCACTTGCGCCATCCTTCGACAACCTCTCATGAAGCATGGAGTAACTATCCTTGAGTTCTTTCTGAAAGATATTAAACATATTCTTTGTATTTGTATAAATTTACTAACCAACTCCTTTTATCTGCACCATATTTGTCCCTCATTTCTTCCCAACGCTTTTCAAATTTTTCTTCCGATTTACTCCAATACCATTTGTTATACTTTACACCAACATCCTCACCATAATCATTATGCATTGATTGAAGATTTTGTAAGGCATTCCTACGAAGGTGCCAAGAACAAAAGCGATGGCGAGTTTTAGGAAAAACTTTGTGAATAGCACCACACATAGCTTTATCTTGATCAGTGATGATTGTTACTGGTGCTATACCCGACATACATTTTAACCATTGGCTAAATAACCATATAAACGTCTCCTCCGTTTCATCGGCCAGTAACGCACACCCAAATAGAGTAGACTGTCGATGATGGTTAACGCCCGTAAATGGTGCAAACGGCAATTTTAAATTGTTCGTTCTATATGTAACATCAAAGCAAACAACATCTCCAAATTGCAAGTAAGAAGTCCTCGACCTACCATCCATCCAAAAAACACTTCTCGTCGTCCCATCATTTTCTAAATCAAGTGCGAAGTAAAATTGAGGATCAGATACCTTTTTCTCTTGAAATTGATGAACTATGCTCACGCACTCATGACCAACATTATTTTTTCGTTTAATTCTAAGTTGTGCTTGGCATTCTTGTTGAGTGAGAGAGCCTTGCTCATTTCCATGAGCAACGTCTACAAACTTACAAATGGTAGAATGCCGTAAACCTTGATTGTCAACAGTATCTATCAACCTTCTTGTCGATTGAGCTCGATGAAGTGTCCGATGTGAGTAGTGCTTCTTTACCCGATTTGGGGTGGTTAATGGATGACCATTATGATTAATGTTTAAATTTCGGACCACCCATTTTTCAGTGCTTCTATCAAGTCCAATAACCATCCTTGCGTTGCATCCACATCTTGTATCGAACTTTCGAACTACATTCCGACCATCTTCTCTTTTATCTTTTAAAAATTTAAAACCTTCCTTGTCACATACATATATTCTAGATATGATTGCATCTTTCTTTCTAGACCAAGTTGTGTGACCCTTGCGAACACCAAATCCCTTAAGTCTAGCGTATGCATTGTAGAAATTATAAGCTTCCTCATGAGTAGAAAACTCCATTCCAATATATGGATCAACAACAAAATTACCTTCACCATTTTCAACGCCAATAGGTTCATCAACATTCTGCTCATGCTCGGATGCCTGTAAAAATAGAGAAACAAATATTATAAAACCCATTATAAAAGAAACCTATTTTGGTATATGTCATTAGATAGTAGTACACAATAGACAATAAGATATTATCACCTGAGAGAAAAAAACTTGTCGTAGATAGTAAACCATAGTCATCGCCTTCAAGGTCAAGGGCTATATATTTGTTTTCATCTTCAACCATTGTTGTATCACGTGAGAGAATTGTTGGCGTGTCCATACAAGCTATCAAATTATCACATATAAGAAGTTCAAAATCTATAGAAAATCATCCTCAAGTTCATCTTTCAATTTCACTAAACAATTTCATTACGATAGTTTAAACCAAATTTAAAGTTTATATCCAATTTAACAATACATGGCAAAAATAGCTCTAAATTATCCGGCTCGTAGCCATAGAGTGAGTGCTGCAAACCAAGTAATGTATGAGCTGAAATTAAAAGGAAGAAGATAGATCCAAGGAATATGCATGAGGGAAGATAGAACCATCATGAAATCCACTAGATCTAACAGGAACGCCAACTAGAACTAACATGCCTCGTAATAGAACTAACATCATCTCCATTAGAGCTAACATGCATCCCGGTAGCATTAACATGCATTTCAGTTAAAACTAACACGTTAATTTAGAGCTAGCTAACATGCATTTCAGTTAGAACTAACACGTTAATTTAGACCTGTCTTGCGGAGGCGGAAGTCGAGCGAGCGGAGGTCCACGCGTAAATTCGGGTGATCTATTTTTTTTTCCCTAACCTTGGTCATCAATAGGGTATTTTTTCCGATCGGGGGGTTTTTCTTTTTTTCCCCTAACCGCGTCATTAATAGGGTGTTTTTATGGTAATTTGTTTTTTCTTTTTTTGGGAATTGTTTTAAATCAATGGCTGAGATGATTTTGGGGGTTTTTGAGATCAATGGCTGAGATTGCGCATCCTTAGGCTACACCTAGGGAGTCACCTTAGATTATTATATATATATTATATATTATATATATATATATATAGAGAGAGAGAGAAGAGAGAGAGGACTGTAGAGAGAGAGAGAGAAATATGGCGTATGCTTCGGGTACCCAAGAACAAAAAAATGTGGCTTGGTAGTGACGGTGTCTACATCTCCCTCTACTCATTCAAGATATGGGAGCAAATTCACATGGATAAATGAGTATATATAGTAAGAGAGAAATATGGGGTTATGCTTAGGTACAACACAAAACAGTTTATGCTTGGTAGTGAGTGTCCATCTCTCTCCACTCTAAATATGGGAGCACATTCACATGGCGTAATGATTGTGATGGTGAATGAGCTGACACATCACTACAAGCACAAAATTTAATGTGTACCAAAGCATACCATATTTCTCATATATTATATATATATATATATATATATATATATATATATATATATATATATATATATATATAATATAGTCATATATATATCATGATACCTATATAATATCACTGATACTGTATATCGTAACATTGATATATTGAGTAGTAGTATATATACTATACCTATATATATGAATTAATGGGTATCCTTGTCATAGGAGGACGATTTTTCCCCCTTGGTCGCCTATTGTGGGCACAACACTTCCCCGACACAATCCTTAATATAAGTTAGGCGACAAATCCTCACAAATGTCAGCACTCTCTTTCTCACTTATAGATAGGTTTGATGTCGGATTTGTACTACATAGGCGTCAAGAGAGGAAATCCCTCCTAAATGACAAGGATATTCCATTAATCCTCTCGGTCTCTCATCTCTCCGTGCTGCATCATATAGTATATACCAATATATATATATATATATATATATATATAATATTATATATATGAGTATGCTGGCTACCAAGTAAAAAATGTTATTGCCCGTTGGGTAGTGAGGTCGCATAATTCCCCTCCACTCATTCAAATGTTTGCATATCCCCGTGCACTCCTCAACCTATGTGAATGTAGTCCCCAATTTGAATGAGTGGAGGGGATTGTGCCACTCACTTCCAAGCATAAAATTTGTGCTTGGCTACCAAGCATACCCATATTTCTCATATATATATATATATATATATATATATATATATATATATATATATATATATATATATATATATATATATTGTAAATTCACAACTACAGGTAAAAGTACGTTTGGTACATTATAGAGCAACAGATCATATATATATATATATATATATATATATATATATATATAATATATATATATATATATATATATATAATATATATATAATATATATATATAATTCACAACTACAGGTAAAAGGTATGTTGGTACATTATAGAGCAACAGATCATAATTATAATTAAGATCCACCTCCCTGGTATTATTTTTCTTTATGTAAAAGCCTAAATACATTGTCATTTTGTGTTTCAGCCTTATACTACCAACTCTGCATGAAAGATAAAACGCTAATAAAGTACCCATGCTACAATCATCCTCTCCCCCCTCTCTGTAAACCATGCTCCACATCCTTCATCTCTCTTCCCCTTCGAACTCAACTCTTCTATAATAGAGTCCACAACAATAATCAAATCTCTCTCTCTTTTCTCATCCCAACTTATCCCTCTCCCTCTCTCATCCTCACTCATCTCTCACACTCTTCTTCATTTTCTAATACCCACCACTAATTTCAACCTTTACATTAACCCCCCCCCTCCCCCCTCCCCCCTCCATGCCCTCAAAACATTACTAGTACAAAGTGACCAGCTCCTATCGGGTAGTTGGAATTGTTGGGGTAAAATTTTGCAGTCTCTAAGATTCCAACCATTGGGGCTAGTATTTTCACAATGGAGGGAATTCCCCCACCCCTGCCTTTTTTGAAAAAAAGAAAGAAATAAGCACAAAGTCACACACCCATGAATTTTCTTCATTCACGCCTCTCATCAAAAACTCCTAAATAAAACTACTCATTCGTCGCCGCTTAGAGATCGTTGCTTGCCATAGCTCAGAGATCACTATCGCCACCGTTCTCTCCCCTCAAACCCCTACCCTTTGCCACAGTGAACTATAACCAATGTCATTCTCTTCCTCTTTTTTCCAACGCTCGAGATCGTTGCCGCCGCCACTCCTATTTTCCGCCGTGAACCCCAATAAGTCCTCTACTTTTTTATACATATTGTCTAATTTTGTCTATTTACACAACGTCATGGCAAGCCAATATTCTATCCTTAAAATGTTCTTTTCTGTGTGAATGTTCTTGCTTTTGAGAGAGTTAAATGGGAGGAATGTGGATGTTGGAGTTCGCTGACTTGAAAAGCATTAAGCACCAGATCTTAAGATATCTTTGGAACCAAACAATATATATATAATATATATATATATATATATATAATATATATATATATATATATAATATATATATATATATATATATATATATATATATATATATAGAGAGAGAGAGAGAGAGAGAGAGGAGTAATTAACTTAATGTCAGTTTAGTGTTTGTGGGCGTCTCTGCTCTCGCTTGAATTATTTACAGTCTTTATTCATTGACGATGTTGAGATATATGATGCAGACAAAAAGGAAATCTTCATAATGCGTGCAACCTTAGTATGGACAATTAACGACTTTCCTGCATACGGAATGCCATCAGGATATTCCATACATGGTTATAAAGCATGTTCTTATTGCCACATCGATACAACATCAACATGGTTGCCTTTTATCCAAAAGATATGTTACTGCTGTCATCGATGCATATTGAAAGAAGACCATATCTATAGGGATGATGATGTTCATTTTGATGGTACTACAGAGCACCGAAAGGCTCTAGTCCCCTTATCGGGGGGAAGACATACTTGCTCAATGGAGTGATTATGAAAACATGACTTTTGGGAAAGTAAAGGAAAGACAGGAAAAGCCACAAGGATGAAAAAAGAAAAGTATTTTCTTTGAACTAGACAAATATAGTGCGTCACAATCTAGAGTGTTTGGGTACCCACGTGATGTTAGTGGATATAGCAAGTGACACATATTCATGTGTATATCTTGACACCCAAACTCAGGAGTATTTTAACACAAAATCCTCTTGCTAGTCGATTGGGGGGCGTGCTAGGGGACGTGTTAGGGGGCTTTACCCATGAGGGCTGCATCAATGAGGACATTCCTAGAGTTTTTGCTAGTTATTTTTGATTAACTTAGTTGTGGCTTGTACTTTTTACATATTTAAGATATTTTTATATTTCAGATATCCTCTTTATGTTTAGAACTTGAGTAGTATATAAGTTATTTTTCGTATTTTGATTCTAGTCAATCTTTTGTTTTGGTTTTATGCGTGAGAATATATATGTTGTGAACAAGTTGATTATGTATTTATGTGGGAAATGAATTGTAAGCATGGAAGAGGAATTAACAAAAAAAAAACTATCACCAACGGTTGCAAACATTGGTGTAAGTATCAACACCAACAGTTGCAACCGTTGGTGCATGTATCAGCACCAATGATGCAAGCGTCAGCACCAACGATTTTAACCATTGGTGCCAAAATCAACACTAATGGTTGCTAACATTGGTGCAAGGACTAGCACAAACGGTTACAACCATCAGTGCTGATACTTGCACCAATAGTTCCAACCGTTGGTGTTGTTATTTTATAATTTAATTTAAATTTTTAAAAATTTAATTAAATATTTACTTGTACTAACGATGGAAAATGTAGGTGCAAACTTTTCATTTATTGGGGTTGTTTCAGTCCCGATGCTTGTTGCATTAATGGTTAGTTTTTTTGCCCTAACTGTTACAACTGTGTAACAGCTGAGGACATCACCTGCCCCAGCGGTTACAACCACTGAGCCAAGCCACCTTTGTACTAGTGCATAGCCGTTCACACCCTCAAACCATTGCCCTAATTCTCCTCCTCTGCCATGATGATCATCATCTTTTTCTCCTCCTCTATCACTCCCTTCACCACCACAAAGATGTTAATACTTGGTCATCTTTGGTCCTACAGTAATATCGCCTCCTTAATTGATATGTACGAGTTTAAAAGGTACTCTCAAACATAGCCAACTCCCCTCTGCAAACCACCAGCGGATGTCTGAGTAGCCTTATGACCTTCATGTGCGCTAGATTTTCGGTAATGAGCTGGTCAATATTCTGACTGAATCCTTGCCTTC